AATCAAAAACAGTAGTGATAATCACGTAAAGTTTGCCGATGGGAGGAAATCAAAAGTTTTCTTGAGGCAGCCTATTCAAACATCACAAAATAATTCCTCAATGCAAACGTCAAGCTTAGTTGCTGTGGAAGATGTTATTCCATTTCACTTAATTCCTTAGATGGATAACCCAACGAAAGTGTCATTTACAGGATCACTTTTGGCCTCGACTTGACTATGGACCATTAACTGTGTTTCGAGTGTAATCCAGTTAAGTTATATCAACTGTGCGATGCGCCCAAAAAGCCAACTAAGGGGGGACTACGAAACAACCCCCTTCTATAGGTCCAGGAAAAATAGAGATGCTAGAAAGCAATTGGTAAACGTTCATGAAGTCACTTTCCATTGTTGTCTTGAATTGCATTAGTTCCTGGATAACTACAAGTGAATTCGGTGACCACGGTATTAGTGCCTGCATATCGTACTGCTTTCCGGGTCGCTAAGTGGAGTTTAATTAGTGAAAGTAGGCTTGATAATTGTGTTTACAACCTTATAGGTTGGTTGCTTATGGCCTGCAGAACAATTAAGTGGCGAATTGAAGTTGCCGATCATCTGCCAGCCTTCAGTTGATGTGATTCATGTGGCTCACTCGATAGAATATATGTACATATGGCTACCTTCCCCAATTGTCTATGAATATCGATCTTTCACAGATATCTGTTTCAGCCACAACAAGGACGCCTACATACTCACATACGTAGGTCATATTATTTAAGAGAGATATTCCACTAAATCCCTGAGGTTAAATGACTTCCTTTTACCTGGGAAAACATCTGTTTCAATAGTTACAAGAGTGAGGAAGCTGTGGTACACCTTCTCGACACTAAATACTGATAGGCTTCAAATCGACAAACAGACATTCAAAATACCCAAATACTAGTTAAATAGTCCCCCACAGCATCGGTGGGTGACTTTCTCTTTGCAGGTTTTGCTTTAACGTGTAGGCATCCACCCATCTACATTCGCCGTTCTTAGCTTCCTCTCTGTGAGGACCATCGGCAGCAAACTCAGATTTCCTACTTCAGTCACTCATAGGCAGATGACTTTAACGTTTTCTCCTCCAATGATAGTTTCACTTCAAGCCTATAAATAAATGGCTCCTCTGAGCACGTTTCACTATCTCACGTACTTCCCTATTTGTCTCTGGTCACCAATACTTAGCGCAGGTAAGTTACTCATTAATGTTGTGGCGGCGCACATTAATTTGAGTAAAACTGGTTACACATCAGGTAAAAAATCACGCAAAAAACCTCCATCAAACTCATCACTATGCATTTTTACGTGTTTACGAAAGCGTTGGTAGTTCACACCCCCATTGACAGCCCCATACTTTCTCCACGTCAGCGGCGGAAGGACCGTAGTTTGGTGAAACTTTGGTGCAACTTCTTGCCACCAAAACAATGTTGAACTTAAAATGAGCAAACATTGAAAATATCCAGATAAAAGCTTAATACTCTTTTACGACACCGACGAGTGACTTTAGTTTTTTAAGTTGGCTTCAGCGTGTGGGCATCCACCCGCGATATTCGTCATTTCTTCATCTTCTGTGTTCTGGCCGGCAACGACTAGCTTAGAGTCCCAAGCTTATTCACTACTAGGCAGGTAAGGTAATATTCTTCATATAGTATAACTCCCTTATGCTCAAATAATCAATAAATTGTTTCTCTCAGTACTTTTCACAATACAACGTGTTTGCTGAGTGGCCTTTTGTTACTAGCGCTTACAAGTAAGATATTGATTAGTTAGATACAGGGGTAAGTTAATTTATGTAAGGATGGTCAAGGTTAGGCAATAGCAACACAAGACCAATCTTACAAGACTACCATTTATGTCGCATCCCTTCAAAGGCCTTAACTGTCCTTATCATGTTCCCTCTTTTCTAAATCGTGTATCCAGCAAAACGGTTGCATAGTTCCATAAACAAAGCGCTGAGTAATTTTGGGGTTCATTTGAACTGAAGCACACTGTATATGACCTGAAGAAATCCCAAGTAAACTAAAATATCCGGCTGATCATAATTAACCAAGGTAGACACAATCATGCGAAAAAACATGAAAAGTTGTGCGTCATCGTACAAAATAGAGATATCAGTGTTGTGGAAGATAATTGGTTAACTGAATGTTATCTCTTCGGTACCGTCCACCACAAGTTTAGTACACTCCAACATTGGTTCGGATGGTGGCACTTTTTAGCGTCCTGGAGTGGACGTCGGTTGGCCTGCTTGTCGTGATAGTTGGAAGTAGGATTAGAAATCCCCCGAAATCTGAGGATAGTGAACCGGTATTCCCATCAGACAGAAATTGGGGTAGCTAGATGTACCCTGTATTTCTAGGTTTAAACACCAGAATTAGTGTGATATCACCAAAATTCCAAATGCCAAGTTGTACAGACAAATAACACTCGTTTTTGCAAGCTTTAGGAAGAATGTGGAAAGTGTGTAGAAAGATGATAAAAAGAAAACGCTACTTTTAATTTAAACGGTTTGTAAATAATTCCATGCAGCCTCCACGCCACACAAGTCTGCTAATGCGTAAGTACATGGTTTTGGTGCAATGACTGAAATAAATACATATTTCCAACATCATAGAAAATCTCTACATTCCCCTTCTCAGCAAACCAAGAAAATAAAATGTATTTATGAGGATAATAGATACAGTCATAAAATGACATTTAGAGTTCACACGCACCATAGCTTCTATAAACCATGGTCATCTCAGTGACTGGTCTTCATTGATATGAGTTTATATAGAACATGTGTGCAAATTTTTCGATTCACCGGTTCCCCTTTATCTACAAATCCACTCTAAATCATAAATATGTAGGGAAATAGTGGAAATTTCTTGGCAAACACGAAGATACATTTACGATTGCATCCGTACACACATCATCATTCAATTAACGTCGGTTCTAAATAGGTTGTATGGAATAATTATAGAGTGACTTAATGACACATTCGTGAACAAACTTCATCTTTTAACTGAAGAGCATTTGATTTGTTAATAATATTTACAGTAGTTGAAGACGCATTTCGCAATCTTCTACTGGATTGCTGCACTGCGTTCTTACCAGAAGTGATATGAAGGTCCTAGCTCACCACGTTTCGTCGAAGATGCTCACCTGACTCCAAGCTCGCGTATGCGATCCCGAATATCTCCACATTTCCTTAACGTTTTGGGCGTCACTCATCAACCAGTGACAAACAACAAAGAAACAAAACACGCGAGTCAGCATTATGAAGAATATGTTCACACTACAGTTTGATTAAAAAGTCGCGACCAGATAGGTATTGTTGGGACACAATGTGAACAAACAAAGCCTCATTAAAATATTAATGTCAAATAAGGGAAACCAAACAGCATGCAGCACCTACAACGTCTACTCACTGGGATCACCTAAGAAAGTATATTATGTGGAACTGCGAAGGAAAATCCTGTTAGCCTAATAACAAACTTCTCAACGCTTTCCTGAAGCGAGCTTGCCCCCAAAAGAATGAAACTTTACGACTGCAGCACCCTCGTAGAAGAGAAGAGAAAAAGTAACTTTGAGTAGCTGACGACTGAGACCTCTACTAACCAAAATACCACAATCTATGGGAGCTTTACGGCTTATAGCACTGGAAATTCTTGAAGTGGGACAGCATACTGGACTATACCAAGCATGGCACCATTGTGTGACCAACCTACTGATGGGATGGGAAGGATGCGTCGCGAGCTATGATGTTAAGAACTCTCCCCGAATCTTCTACGCGATATTCTTACACAGAAAATTGTGAAGGCCACTATCGATGAACCTACGTTACTCTGATTTCGAAGACATATGGAAACCTGACAGCCACACGGCTACTACACCAGATCTACTTACAACAGGTGTCCTGGGATCTAGTTGACGATTTGAGCTTCAGTATCGAGAAACGCAAGGTGATGCACCTTTGAACATTAGCTGCCACGACAGCTAACTGACACTTGAGTGGCTAAATCCTTGCCAAACTCTCCAGTATTACGGAACTACGACTTAACTTTTGTGCAGAACTGGCGCAAACTATGAGAGAATGACAGTGAAAGGAAACATGATCACCAGTTTCCTGCACAGTCGTTTAATTGCCTGAACCCTAGGATTATTGCAAGCATCCATTTAATGAATTAATTGAAATACTCAACGTGACAGCAACGCACCAACTGTAGCACTACTCTAATCTGCCTAAGAAGCTCGTAGAAATCCGATGGCGGAATTAGACGCAAAACCTACCTTAACCTCCCAGAACTCTTGACCTGCTTATATTAGGCTTCTCTTGTGAGAAAGGTGACCTATAAACAGCTCGCAAGTCATTCACCAAAGCAAAGCTTCAGAAAAGCCAACTATTTCTTGCCTATAGAGTGCTTTTGTGGAAATGCCATGTTACATTAGCCCATCAAAAAGCTAGCACAATGATCAGATCCAGCTTTCCTACGAGTACACACAGGAGGAAACGCCCGGTTGCGGCATACAGTGACAGTACAATCGCTCAGAAGGAATGTGGATAAACATACCAGCACTTAAATTCTCCCTCAAACATTCAAAAGGTACTAACAACGCCTCTCTCACCGTTTCTATCCGCCTAATATTTTCTTCCAGATGACTCATTCAATTCACCTGCAAATAAGGAAGCTCCGAAAGGTAGTTTGAATATTACCAACGTTCCTAAAACTTCTTTGTTCACACAGCCTACTCAAAAGCAACCCGATTATGTAGCAAATAATCATCTCAAAGCTAAAAGTAGACAGGTAGAAAATACTTCATCGTCCTTTAAAGTAGTACAATGCAACGAAAAGAGCCAGGACTCAATTTTAAGAAAGTTAAGCTGATTTTTCCACTTAAAGGGTGTCGATAACAGACTAAAAAAGAGTTTCCGGGACTCAAGTGATGCGAGTGACGAATCTTGGACTTTGAACGTTTCGTTGTTTGCACTAACCAATAACTAATCTACTTGTTGGTTTTTCAAGCGTTTTACGGTCGTTGGCACGTTTCTTCGCAGAGATTATTAAACGTAAATCCTTCCTTTGTACATTTTCTCTCATTGTTGATATTTTTCATTGTTGAGTTCACCTCCCCTCCGATTCTAGTCTATCTAAACCGGTTAATCGTAGCCGCATGGTTATCATGTTCATCCCATCAATGTGTTAATTTATTCAAACGCGTTCTAATTCATACCAACCAACTTTAGCACACGTAGCTAACTCGAGAAACAAAGCCATAGGGGAAATCTTTGTGGTTGCTTCATTTGCTGGAAAGAGCAGTCTTTCCTTTGGATTCGCGAAGTCAAGTGGTAGGGTATGTATACATACCCATATATGGACTTGGAAAGAGCCCCTGTAGATTGTTAATCAGTATTATGTGATTGTTACGTGTCAGAGCCCGTGTTCCCTCCGCTTCAGCTGGTGTCTTCACTTTATGCACAGGGTATTGTGAGCAGCTAGTTATCAGCTCCTAACTTCATTGAATTACTAGATTTCCAAATCCCCCACAAGTCGAGTTAGAAATTATTGCTTTTAAAAGCAAGTAGTCCTTCCGTCAATCGTCTATTAAACTTCATGTCATAATTAAGCGTTTAATATCTCTAGTGTGGTTTCGTGTAAAAACATTTCCGGGAGTTTCTCCCGTGTTCAGCTCCAACACCAATAGTCGGATACCTAGATTCTAGTGCAGCTGAGTTCTTTAGAATTTTACCTACCATGTCAACAAACTCCGAGAAATCTTTAAAATATGCATGTTTTTGGAGAACTGTTTGAAGGTGGACTTGATATTGCACCTTTTGTAACCTTTTTGTCAGTGTAGTTTAGTCTTTAGGTACTAAAGAGATATGAAATCGAACTTTTACGACGTCTACTATTTAACTTTGTGACTATTGAATAATTTGCAAAGCGATTTCTTACTCTTACGCTTGTTTCTACATTCCACATCTTGCCAATGAAGGACGCTCTGTTAATATTACTGTCTTCATGAGATTGTATACCTTAAAGTGAAGTGAGTATTGTGATTAATTTTCGAGGCGTAATTCTCTATCTTCATGAGTTCACGTAGTTTCAGAACGTGGTGAAAAATCTAAGACAGAACAGAAGCTATCCTAGTAACCTTCAAGTAGCAGCCTAGTGCACAAATCATTGGGTTACTATTCCCTTATACTTTTACTCATATTCGTTAGATGATGACAGGTATCACACTTTACAGTTTCCTCTCATAGTCAATCTTGAGTTTTTTTGTATTTACCTGCATCAGTTTTACATAATTTTTTTTATGGCTCAGCAACCACCTATAGCTTTGCATACTAGGCTGTGAGTCACATTTACCATGGGTTATCGCTACCACCTAGCTGCATATCAGTCAGCACCAACACAGGACTTGTTGTTACTACTTAATCGCCCCTTGGCAACAACATTAAAATTCATTGTAGTAAAGTGAGGGCAGACAAACACGAAATCAAAGTAGAACCCTGTCCCTTCAAGTTGGCATACTTCACAGTAGTACACAAAGAGCATACATAGAAGAGTGATATCAAAGTAAACAAAGTCTTTTGACAGGATAAATAGTCTGAAGATAACGGCTAGTGCAAATATTCAGGCTTTAGATGTCAGGAAGTGAATACACCTACACCGATTTTCGGCTATGTCACCACAGATTCCTTTTGTCTCAGACCCCGCAACCAGGCAGTCTACATTTCCCTACACGACTCAGACCGACAGTAGGAGACTTCATCTACCAGTTTCATATCTGTCTGGCCACCCTGAACCCTCTTCCAATGGAATCCAACTTCCCCTAGCATTGCACATTGAAGTAGGTAGCTGCTTAGCATTCCCAATAAGTGTCCAGTCTAAGTCAGCTGTTTGTAACCTCACCAATCAACTTCCCCATAACCCTTAGCCTGATTTTGGCATTGCACACGCGGTGATTCCACCAAACACGAGCAGTGATACGAAGCCGCCTATGATCAAAAACCCTGTAGCCGCTTCATATCTTCGATTTCTAACTGCCGTTTCACAGCCATAGAAAAGGACAGAATGAACTGTAACGCAGCATACTCGTCCTTTGATAAATAGTCGGATATCTCATCGGCGCCACAGATGACCCAAGATGACAAATACCAAACAGACCTTTATCCGAGCTGAGATTTTTGTCAGCAACCGGGCCACAACCCTAGCAGCTGCATGAGTTCCAGTAGGGAGGTTTGATAAGCATTATATACTTGCTTGGTGCTCCCTTAGTAGTCATACACTACCACAACACCCCATGGTCGACATAGTTAAATGCAGCCTTCAGGTCACGAATTACGGCGTGTCGGCCGCCGGCAAGGATACCCGTGTTCCAGGACCTGTCGAAGGGTAAAAATATGGTCGATACACCATGATTCAGCTCTATCTGAAACCTGTCCAGTTTTCTTGAGTTTACTGTTCTCGAACTCGTTAGACGGATAATTATGGACCCTAAGATCTTGGACACAATATTAGTCAAACTACTTCCCCTATGGTTTTCACAAGATCTCTTCCCCCTTTTTATAGACTGGGATGATCAAAGAAGTAAGCCAGTCTGATGGGACTACCTCTAGTCATCACAGACTCCCTAGTACATCCGTTACTTTAATTAGCAGTTTCCTACATCCACCCTTGAAAACTTTGGGTGATAAACTGTCAGGTCCTATTACTTTGCATCTTTTCAGGTTCAAAACAGCCTTCTCAACTGTAAGGAAAGTTGGTGAATTGACATCTACGTCCCATTCATGTCCAGGCTGGATGTTGGGCAACTGAAACGTTGCTCAGGGTTCGGTTGAACTCCGCTTCAAAATGTTCTACCCAACGTTCTAGCTCCCTATCTTATTAGGCTACCAGCGTTTCATCCTTTTCGGTGATGGTTTCACCGACCGTCATGCCGATATCCATAATAACTAAGTAGTTACCGATTGTTAGTCACCGCTGATGCCTTCCCCATCTCTCTTGCTTTCGTCAACCACTACTACTCACGATCGTTGCGAAACCTCTCGGTCAATTTACGTTTAGGTTACTTTCTCTATTCATTTTGGTCAGAGCCAACTAGAAGCAGTCTTCTCACATCAATCAGTTCAGATGACGTTTCCTATGCTTTGGATGTAGGTTGCCAACTGTCTTTACCGCTGTTTCTACAGCAGACTTAATATCACACCAGGTTTCCTCAGGATGAGCATTGCTGTCATGGTCAGATAAATGCTTACTTGTATCCTCACTGAATGCGCACTTGGCGTTCTCATCTTCCGATTGAATGTGGACAGGCTTCACTGCCACCTGTTTTCTGCAACCAGTAAGGTACAGATATGTATGAGCTCGTACCAGCGCGTTACCAGAGTCCAAATACGTATTCCAGAAAGAACAGCGATCCTCCAACGATGGGTGATAGCAATATGATCTATCCGTGCCCATCCTTACTTTGATGTCAACGGACGCCATGTAGAACAGTGTCTCTCCTTTTGCTTAAAGTTAGTCGTGACCAGAAACAAAGGAGTTTTGGAATAAAATTGCAAGGAATGATCACTTCTGTCGATTCGTTGGCATGGGATCCATGAATATCTTCAAGATGCCTTCCCGATTGTCTCAGTTTCCCTACTTGAGCGTTAAAGTCACCTGCCATTATTGACTACACCTAAACGTTTTGCTTTCTTTAGCAAGGTTGACAGCTTGTAATATAATTAGTCCTCTGCATTATCCGAACTGCAGTCGGTAGGTTTGTCGATGGAGATTCCGAATGGTCATCTCGTCTTACGACCCTTCCTAGTCGTTATAGATCCATTCAGTCGAACAGCACATAGATGGCTGTTTACCGGTATCCAGTCAAGAAGCACACTTTCTACTGTACAGCGTAACGCTATGTCTACACCCACTCCACTAGAGCTATCCGCTGGGTCTCCGAATACTCGTAAGGTGAATTTTGAAGACTCAAGACTATGACTAGATGAGGTGAGCTTAGTAACTACACTCGGCTCTTGTATGCATATCTCGGAGCAGCAAACATCCATGGCTTAAGATTACCAAGTTTTGGCGAGTGATGCTTGCTACCCGATTCGGTCTTTGAAAGCTGCAATATACTAGTGATGGCGAGGTCTTAGAGGGGAGGGATGAGGTTTCAATGATTTTGATCGTTAAAAATGGTTGCAGAGTGACGGGTTGGGTAAGGCGTAAGAGGCTAAATATCAGTATCAGAAGGTGAAGGCTAGGAATGAGACAGAGTTGGGGAGGATAGGTTATGTTTGATTGGGTCTTGTGTCCTTCTGGAAGCGTGTAGGCAGTTGACACTTCCTAGCTGGTTACACTGTTGAAGATCATTTCTTCTTAAGGTAGCTGAAATAGCGAAAGATTTAAATGACTGCAGAGCCCATGGAACATCTCGAGACCTGTCACACACCACCTTCCTACGGTTTGGTTGTTCTAACTCCGGATAGAGAAAACCCGTGCCGCCGGCCCTGGACAACCATGGGGGAGTGTGTTATTTTGGGGGTCGACCTTTTCTAACCCCCTTTCTGTTGGGACATCAGTGTGGCACTGCTGGTCATCCCAAGAAAACCCCTTACTGCTATCCTTTTCCGTCCAGCTAGCAGTACGACTTCACCCGTAGACCCCCATTATAGTGTAGGGATTTACACTACAATGGCAACTGCTTTCTTTCTTAACACTATCCGCCTAACCTTTATGGCGTGGTAGGACCTTAAAGGAATAAGCGTCCCAGCCAACTTCGCTCTTTGCGTCATTGTGATATGCAAGTCAGACCACGGCGCTATGAAGCAGCGATCGGCGGGGAAGGACAAATATTATGGGAAAACGAAAGAATGTAATATGACAAGTAGGACGAAGGTAACGAGTTGGTGCATCTGAACCACTATGATAAAGTTGAGACTGCAACGTAGAGTCCCCAACCATCGATTTCAGTTGTCATCCGGGTCCTAACCTGTCCTAGATCCTCAAACCATGTTAGTTAGAAGAATTCATTCTCAGTGCCTCTATGTTTATGCCGACTGCCCAGACCAACTATCCAAAAGTCTTATAAGGCGAGTAATGGATGATATGCATAGCTTTCGGTTTTTCATGCACCGTGCTTTTTCAGTAATAGTTATTTTCTTCTGATTAGCTGAAAACCTTTATCAACACATCGGTACTAGGCAGTACCGTTAGCGTTTTTCATTTATTTAGTTTAGTGCTGATAATTTCGTTTTGTGGCTCATTGGTTTAGGGATATGACTTTCAACCAGTGTGTCACAGGTTCAAAGACCTCTCCGCCTACCAAGGTTTGGGCAATCAGGTAATATCAATAGCCCTTACAGCATATATATGGCTCATTGCATACCGCATGAACGTGCAGTTTATTTGCTGATAATTTCTGTGGACTAGCGGCTCATCGGTAAGAGTACAAAAATACTCCGGAGGAATCATAAGAATGATATTTTTCGGTAATCGTTTTAAACTTTCGTCTATATAAACCTGTTTCAGCTATTGTAAAGCTGTAACATACTGAATTGCATGCTTTTAACCTTAACCATGTTAGTCCAAAACTCGCCACACCTGCCAAGGCTTATCAAGGCCAGTGTTACAAATTCCACGCAGGTATAACTCATCGATCAGTTCACACGTCTATGTAGTTGTCCGGTCGTATTTGTTTACTTCTAAAAGCAGTAGCAGCCACTTGTACTGTATTACTTATTCGGTCTTGTTATTAGGGTATTGCGGCGATGAATGTTCCGGTGTCGTGTTCCCACGAAATAGAAACGTTAAAGTGGGTTTTTGACAAGTAAAGCCGGTCAGTGCATAGAGTTGAAACAAGACAGAGGTTATAAAATCTTTATTTCAAATTGTTGATACACACAGGTATGTGAGGGAGTGAATTGTATATGGATCTATTCCAGTTAACCGACTGAAAGCGGCTATAGTCTCTGCTGTTTTATGAGACATTATGTCAGGGGCTCGGAATGACTCCTTCCCACAACCATACCAAATGGTTTGGCTTTCTCTACCACCGCATAATGAATGTCATAACAATGTAACAAAAAATCTGAGCCTATCTCCATAGCTTACATTACTGGTCAACTACCAGTGCATCAGATCACTAAACCATCCATCTTTTTTCGTCAGTGGTTGTGTTTACACAAACCTGTTTCACATTCAAACTTGTGCGTAATGTATACATTCACTACACTGCTCATTAGTTTAAAACTTTGAACTACAAGTAACCAAGCAGTTGCTTACATAAAGGTTTCCCGTAGTGCGATGTATAACAGCTATTCTGAAGTCACTAATGCTCTTGCTTTGTCATTTTAAACATTTACACTTGATGTAAATAGGTAATCGCAGAATTAGCTATGATTATTTAAAGCCTTGTATATCAGTTTCTTTCAGGATACACCTGGATAGCGTGCACTCAGCACGTATAGTGGGCAAACAAAGAGTAACTGAAGGCCAGTTGAACTCCCTCAAAGTGTTCCATTCATCACTCTAGTCGTCTCCTCACGAGTGGGTCGCAGACCCATCTTTCTCCCCTAGTCTCACTAACCATCAAATTCACTCGTTTCTTTGATAAGTCTGAATTGTTGCCTATCACTCCTGTCTTTTCTATCTCTTTAACCTTCGCTATCCAATACTTCCCAAGGTTGTTGCATAAACTCTTTCAGTCTATGTTTGATCCGCTTACACTTCACCGTGCTTAAAACCTGCAGGATTGCATTTACGTTCGTTCATTAGTTTGAGTGAGGCTTTCGATATCCACTGGCTCCTAACCTCTTACCGAATGCCACGATCTTTACTGTTGTTTTTTACAACAAGATAGGAATAATGTTAGGCTTTTTCAGGATGGGTGATAACTCGTTTCGATAACTGTCTATCCATTTCCTCTTTGAAAGCAACTTTAGCATCCCCATTATCGACCATTTTCAGAACCAACCTTTTGTAACCCCTCTTTTTGACAAAGGAAAGCAGCACCAGAATGGAATATTTATCTGCTGGAAACACCTTATTGCTGTCACATCATGTACAGTCTTCTTTACGACTTCATTCTCTGACCCTCAGTGTAAGATATTTCAATCAAAATCAATCATTATCAACATAGGACCAGGCATTACTGCGTAACGGTCCGAGTTGCCACACCTCACGTCAGTTCATCAAGTAGAAAGGTAGTGAGGTGAAGGATGAAGATAAGTGAATGCAGTCAGAAGAAATATAAAGTATGAGAAGAAAGGAAAGAGGAGTGACAAAATGGTGAGATTCGGTATAGTGTAGTTAAGATGAGGATAATTTGTGTATACATCTGCGCCACTCACATCGGTTCTGAGCCATACCAACTAGGGTCTCCAACCACTGGTTCCTCTTGTCCCGTGGACCCCAACCACCTAGTCTGCATCGTCCTACATGGCTTAAACCAACAGTCAGAGACTTCATACATTGGTGCCATGTTTTAGGCTGACCAACTCGGGTGTTTTTCCAGTCTGAACCTACTTTGACCAACATTGTGTGACTAGGCAATCGGTGACTAAGCATACGTAGTACGTGTCCCAACCATCTCAGTCGATGAAGGTTCATAACCTCGTCAACTGACTAACCTCTTCTCCGCTGAAGACCAGTCCTGGAGCAAAAATTTGCATTTGGGTGGTGAAAATCGCATCCCAAACATTCTCAAATTCCCACTCAAGGTGTTCAGAAGACTCTGCATCTTGCCAGCGTCTTCACCTAACAGGACTATGTCATCTGCATATTCTAGGTCTAACGAAAATTCTCCTGTGATTAGGTCAACGTCTGTGTAACCTGGTGACGAGAGGGAGACCTCCATAAGAATATCTATGATGAAATTGAGTGTTGGGGGGCCTGTCTCTATGTCCCATTCAGGATCCGACTGGATAGCGGGCAACGCAATGGTGGCTGGATGCCAGTTAAACTGTTCCTCAAAGTGTTCTGCCCATCGTTACAGTCGTCTCCCCTGCGAGTGAATCGCAGGTCCGTCCTTCTCCGCTATAGCCTCACTAACTGTTGTTGATCTTCCCCCCCCCAGTTTCCTTAATAAGTCTAAATAACTCTCTACTTATTACCGATCGCCGCTGCCTTTTCCATCTCTTTAGCCTTCGCTGCCCACCACTGTTCGCGATCGTTGTGCAGACTTTTCATCAGTCTACTTTTAAGTTGCGCTCGCTCTTCATTATACTCAGAGCCTGCAGGGAGGCGTTCACGTGCATCCATTAGTTCGGAAGAAGCTGCTGATATCCACTGGCTCTTTTTAGCCACTATTTTGGAGTCGGTTACAGTCTTCAGTGCTGCTTTTACAGCAGACTGAAGAAGGCACCAAGCTTCTTCTGGATGAGTTATATTCTTCTGTTCCGATAACTACCTAGCCAACTTCTCACTGAACACGGCTTTGATGTTTCCGTTTTCCAGCAGCACTCGTAGTGGTTTTGTTGCTAAATTTTTCTTACGTCCATTGAGACACGGACCAACGCGTGATTGCTGTCCAAATACGTACGCCAGAAGGAGCGGCAGTCTTCCACTGATCCTCTCCAGGATGACTAATAGTAATGTGGTCTATCTGTGTCCATCGCTGAGTTGAGCTCGGTGGACGCCAGGTCAGACAGTGCCTTTCTTTATGTAAGCTATTTACACTTTTAGTCTCATCCATATCCAGGAGACCTTTCGGGTATGATAAGAGCAGTCGTTCTAGCCAACAACTTATTAGGTCATTGTGATATGCAACCACAACCACCGTAACAAAGTAGGTAGCAGCTGTTGGTCGGGAGACTGACTATGGCTGCCTAAGGTTGGAAGGAAATTCAGCACCAGTAGCAATTGCAGTTCGAGTCAGGTCAATTACGACTAACTGGAACTAGCAATCCAACTACAATCAAGTTCATTTGGTGTGATCCCTAGTAGCCTGATAAAGTCGCACCACTAACTTGTTGGTATGACTTACAGGTTGCAGTTTAGATGATACGAAGATATCTTTTCAAAACAACTCGAAAAAATCCTGGTGCTTTAAGAGATCATCAAAAAGCTGACCACAAGTTAACACGTCGGCTACCGTAGTTTATATTTTATAACAATGCTTGAGATTTCAGCTTTGACGACAATATCCGACAACTATCTAATTCTAGATGGACGTTTATCTTTAACACTTGTTTTCAATGCATGAAACTAATTAGACATGGTTTTGTTCTAGTTTCGGTAAAATCCAAATCATCAACCAATTCAGAAAATCATTTTGAGCGCTTGATTTTTGAAGTCTCATGACAGCGGTGAAAGACTTCACCCATAAGTATCAGTGCCTCCTGGATCTCAAAATGATACAGCAATGTTAGAGCGTTTATTAACCAACCCTTCACATAATAACACCCGCACATCTGAGGAAAACTGGTTTTTCAGTAAGGTCCACCGCTACAAATTACTCTCTGTTGGCAGTATGATGAATACTTTTTAAATGTTAATGCAAGAAGCAGACGGGCCAAACTATAAAAAAGATTTGTTTGGTGTCAAAAGACGACAAGGAATATTTAATCTAGGTGATAAATTCGTTTGCAGCAGTCACAACTCATGTTCAGTATCAATCCTGTGACTTGATTAGAGCTTCAAATAACATTGAGTATATATTTCAGTCAAGGTAAACAGAAAGATTATTCGCTTGCAACTAGATACAGCATCAGAGATTTACGGCTTTCTCTGAGAGAATTCAGAGGATGTCTTCTTGTATACACGGGCGTTGGGAACACAGTTGTAAATGCTTCTGAAAATAAGGTAAATTTATTTGGTAAACGTCACTCTGAAATGGAGAATACTGGTAAAAGTAGCAACGGTTTATTACGGATAATTGCATGCAAGGTAGGTTCGATTAGAATCAACTGAATAAATTTCCGTAAAATAACCTTTTTCTTCGAGTAACCGCACTAGTCTGAACCTAAGCAGATTTATCTGCAAGCAAGCAAACAGCCAAAAAGGACTAAGATTTGTCGTAGGTAAACCAAAGAAATCAAAGGGAAAGGCGGAAACAGAAGTTCTAGGGGGATGATCACAGTGAAAAATGCATCAACAAATGAGAACATAAGATGCCGTTCCGGCAACTCCAAACACCTCAAATTAGTGGTGGAGAGTTTCAGATCAATAACACTATCTGCCAGTCATTTTGGTTAAGGTGACACTGGTTGTGATTACAACCAAAATACTGCTTTGTACCGAAAAGTAAGCAGTCAAATTTCAGGTGGATGCACGATTATTTTGCTCCTGTCATCTTCAAGACGAATGTCAGGAAATAAGGTGGATGGGTGGGGGTTGAGAAGAAAGCCAATGAAAATCATGGATTTAAACGCAAATGTTTAACTTTCCAAAGCGCTTAAAATAGCATCTTCAAAATTGGATTTTGTTTGTTTGTTGATGTTGACTGCAAAGACTCCCTAGTTGGATTATGTGCGTTGTAACTGAAATCATCGGTTAAGGATTTTGGGAAAAGTAGTTCTAAATTTTTTTCTGTTACATATAAATACCCACACTGTCCTTTAAGCCTGTGGTTCCTTGATCTAGGCATTTGGCTTCCACCCGATGGGTCAAGAGTCCAATCCCAGCCCCATCTACTCAGGTTTGAGCAGCCAGGCAGTATCACTAGCCCTCACATAATATGTGGCTCATCGCTTACTTCATGAATGCGTACAAGAAAGCACTCATATATATATATATATATATATATATATATATATATATATATATATATATATATATTCTGTACTTTCGTCTGTTCTGTTAGTTTTTCTTGTAGATCGTCCAGTTGACTTCTCACTCAATGTGGTATCCTGTAGCAACCGATAAGCAGGTCTAGGGCATATCTCTGTGGCCCTCTCATAGGGAGGTCTGGCGAATCACCTTGATGAATGGTTATTCTTTGCACGATATAAACATTAAACAGTAGTGATCTCTCGTACTACTTCATCGCAATTGTGTTTGCTTTCTTGTTAAATGTAGTGTTATGTCTGCTCGATCCAAAAAACAGAAAGCTACAGAGTCTGAGAAAAATGAGGGTAGCCCACCGTCTTTCTCCAGGTCTGTTACTATCGAACGGAGCCATACATCTTCAAGTGAAAGTCCTCGTAAAAGCTTTTCTCGTAGCGAGCGATCTAGTAGTCCCTTAACTATTAGTCGGTCTGAAGAAAAAGACGAACTTGCTCATTTGAATGATCGTCTGGCAGGCTATATTGACTATGTTCGGAAACTGGAGCTTGACAAGCAGAAACTCACTCGACGTATACAAACTGTAACTGAGGAGCGTATGGTAATTAGTGTTTTCTCCGTTGAGTTTTTTTTTTCAGAGCAAAGTAGAAGAAGCCAGGAAAACGTATGAAGATGAGATTGAGGCTCTTCGGAATTTGGTTGATGACCTAGCTAAGCAAAAATCAAAGGCTGAACTAGACGCTAAACAATTGAGAGATGAATTAAATGATGTGAAATCGAAAGCCAATAAACGAGAGCAAGAAAATCGTAATTTACAGAGGAGAATCGAAAATCTCGAGAGGGAATTGAGTAAGTACAAACAAGATCATGATGCATATCAGGTAATTTAGCATACTTTTAATATTCTCTCTCCGTAGCCTCTTCTTAGCGACTATCATGTACTGGAGAAAAGGTTTGAAGAAATGAAACGGGATTTGGAGGCCGAAACTCTACTTCGCACTGATTTGGAAAACAAAATTCTTGGGCTTAAGGAGCAGTTAGATTTCCGTTCCCGTTTATTCGATGAAGTGGGTTCAATTTGTTGGGAAATATTTCTTTCAGGAACGTGAAAAGTTAGTTGAACGCAGCATGTACATTGAGGAAGAGGTGGAAGGCAGGAAACAAGCTGAATATGAAAGTCGGTTAGCGGATGAACTTAGATCGATCCGAGATCAAACGGCTTCTGAACTAGAAGAGTATAAGATACAAATGGAAGAAACGTTTGAGGTACATACTTAAATTTGCATACGTATGTTTATAATATCACAAAACCCGATTTTCTTAATCCTCGAATGTTTATACAATCTCTTTGTTTATGAGTACAAATACCTGAAAATTTGTCCCAGTATAAGTTACATTTTTAAAGGATCCACTAGTGCATGTATATATTTCAGTGATCATTGGTTCACATCAACTCACGATCCAGTTTTTAGGGTGAAAGCTGTCTTGTATTAGTTTCTTGTTCGCAAATCGTAAACTCATAGACTTTCTTTCATAGCACTCAGTTCTCTTCAGAAGTTACTACTCACTGGTTTAGGTGGCTATTTTTTAGCTACACACACTTTACTCAACGTAGCAGTTGTCAGATGTACATCAACAAATATCGAATATGATTAGTACAAAATCATAACGTGTACTCTGTATTCTCAAGACAGATTTTCTTGAAATTAGGGAAGAGGTAGCCGTTATAGGCTGTAAGTTGTCTACAGATGTTAGCATACGATTCTTCCACAGTATGAGCAGTCGGAAAGTGTCAACCTTCTGCTGCACGCTAACGCTAGGAAGTCTGGTTGCTAAATTGACCATCAAGCGATTTACTATACTTACATGCATTGCGAATGAAATTGGTGCTACTTTCATTCTTATGGTTGTTTTAAAGAGTTTAAAACATTCATGTCAGTAGGGTTTATTTTTATAAGATACTACAGCCTAGCAGAAATCTTCATGAGTAGTAACCACTTGTTTCAAGTGTAAATCTTGTGTTTATTTTATCATACAACCAAAACAAATAAAGTAAGGTGTGTAAACATTATCATGTCCTTAATTCACCACACTGATAATTCCTTCTGGTGTACTTCTGTTTGTGTTTATGAATGACGAATAAAGTTTAAACATGGTCAATAGACTAGTAGGGCCTCGTAGCCTAGTGAAAAGAGTACTGGATCAGTTAGTCGAAGCTCGATTATGATTCTTTTAGTGTAGTACTCAACAAAGTAAACCAGGTTGTGGAACTCATTTAGTGTCAATCCAAAATTACACACTAATTCACATTGTTATTTAAATTTTTGTGCGAGTTAGTTGGTTTTTCTGAGCTAATGACCAATCTCTTTTATGTATCAACTACATAGTTCTATTACTAATTTCGTCTCTGTCAGTCCCAGTATGATTATATATTTTGGTTGCATCTAACCTGAAATGTAAGATTCTTCGTAACTCGAGTTGTCCGTTGACATCGTTGTTGAACCTTTTTGGCGCGTCTCACATGTTTAAGTGGATGCAGGAGAAAAATAAACCCATAAATTAGATTTAGCCGCTATTTTTAACTTCATAATAGTTCTCATAATTGTGGGTAGTAATAGAGAATCTTGTCATCCGTCCTAGAGCGACTCTTAAATGACATTGAAAAGATTACCCAGAAGCGAGTGTTTTGTTCGCTAATTTCTCAGCAGGCGGGAGCTCTAAAAATCTTTGTCACTTATAATACAAGCAAAACAATATAGGTCTTCATGCTTTTATTAGGGCCAAAAAATAATCATCCTTCTAGCTTATAAGCCACAACTGCAAGCTTTTGTATCAGTTTATGAATTTCAGCGTGAGTACTGGAAAGAGGACTTACCGGCTGATTAACTTCTGTTTCACAAGTTAGTAAGGAATGCTATCTTCCTTTTAATCTAGTATTATCATTTTGGAGTCATGATGTGATATTATGGTGCACATATTGACAATAAGGTATAAAACAGTGTGCGGTGTTCATTCCTAATTTCTTCGACTCCAGTGGAGCACAAGCATCTAGTGAAACATGTCAAATTGACAAGCATCGGTGTAGTTTCACACAATTTTACCGAATCCTAGATGCAGTTGAGAATATTCATCGGTGGTTGAAGGTCACGGAATCAGTTGTTGAGGGACGAGAGAATTCTCTAGCTTCGCCTTGCTGGTTGAACAATGTGAAAAAGAAGCAATAGTACACTTCTGGTAGACTAATATTGGATATAACATTTATCAAACTATCGAGTACATCCTCACTTTTATGCTCATGTAACTTACCAGCAAATTAATTGGTCAACAGCAAGTTGTTGAACTTTAGGATACAGTAGATCACTAGACTAGCCTTGGATTCCACCCTTTACCATTACTCTTCAAATTCCCCATAAACAATTTGTTGGTTTCATTTTGACTCCCGGGGTGGGGCGTATTCACTGACAAGCTTTTTTCTTCTAGAGCAAACTTGGACAATTGAAATCATCAGCTGATTTCAGTGCAGAAGATGCTTGTCGTCAGCGGTCTGATTTATTGCTAGCTCGTAAACGTGCTGATGATCTTTCTCATGATCTATCCAAGAAAATTGCTGAACTAGAGTTACTTCAACGACGAGTTGCTGATCTAGAGCGTCAGTTGACTGATGAGAGAAGAGACTTCGAATCACAACTTCTTTTCCAACGTCAGGAGGTAAACCGACTGAAAGAAGAATTGGAGGCAAGTTTCCGTGAATTCACTGACCTCATGAATACGAAAATTGCACTGGATCAAGAAATATTAATGTATCGAAAAATGTTGGAGGGTGAAGAATCCAGGTAAGTGTTGACAATTAATTAATTCACTTAAACGAAAAATGTGTAGATTTCATTCTGAATTACTTTTTCATTGATGTGGTGGTATGCCTCAACTAGTTTGACTGTAGATATCTCATACTCCTTTAACTTTAAAGTTGGTTAGATACAAATAATGTAGACATGACCCTTCAGTATTTCAGTTAATCTCCTGATACAACTCAGATGCCAGATACTAGACTGTTAGGCATATCTTTTGCCACTGCCCAGCTACTAAAGTCAAAGTAAGTAAAGTGGGATCGGAACGTTTAGAACCTGATGCTTGGTAGTCGAGTGTTTCAGCCAATGAGTCACATCTTTAAAAACAACGGTAGATTCGTTGAGTATTATTATTTCTCCAGGATCTTGGGATTTCATTGTAAGGGAAAACTGTTCGAACTCATACCCCAAAATAGTTCACATCGCTTAACTCAACCCTTTTAGAAATATTGATCTCAAGTGTAGGAAAATGTTTCGATATACATGATCGACTTTCAAGAGATACAGATTATATGTCAAGCGTGATTAAAACGCTACGAATTCTTGTGATTCAGAACGCAACCGGCTATAAAGTTGTATTGAGGGAAACTTTTATTTTATTAGTTTAGGTACTTGACTTGCCTTTTCATATACTGAAGCTTTGAAAATCAGGCGATACTATTAACTTCACGCAAAAGTCATTTTTCCACAGTCTACAAAAATATGTGCATGGTTAACTGACTTGCGTTTTACGTATTATTTCACAAACAATTCGTACTACCTTACCCATAGGACGTAGCCATAGTTGTCTGTTTCCTTTGACGAACCACAACAAAATTACTGAACCATTCAAAGTAAACGAAGCTAGTTAGAGCATGTAGTAAACAAGGTAAGTCTTTATTCGATAAGTTGTAACTACCATTTCATTTGATCCTAATTCCAGGCTTAATCTGACACCAGCTACACGTGATTCACCATTCAATATCCAACTGGGTAAACGCAGGCGTACTGATGCAGATTTTGACGGTGATGATTCTGTTGCTAACCTAACTGGAACTGGTTACAGTTCTCGTTCACGATTCGCTTATCGCGTTTCATCAACTGCACGTGGACCTGTGGAATTCTTTAAAGAGCAGGATACACATGGCAAATGGATAAAGATACATAACTCTTCTACAGATGTAAGACTACAATTTGACCCATTTTTAATATAATTTCTATCAAAAACCAACATAAGCTGTAGAGCAACTTTAAAAAATAAGCTTTTCATGGTATACAGTAGGGTAAAACATCAGCCGCTTTGCTAATCGAATCCTGTAATTTTAGGTCTCATGGTGAGCAAGTTAATTTTAATCTAAGGAGTCGACATTTTTTGGCTGTGAATATACTGCGCTACAGTTCGTTCTGTCCTGCTATACATCTGTAAGACAGTTGTAAAAAACAGAAAATATGAAGCGATTATAAGTTTTTGACCACAAGTATCTTCCTATGGTGGAATCACCGTATGGGCAATGTAGAAGTCAGGCGAAGGGTATTAGGTAAGGAAGGCGACTGGATTGATGGGGGTTGTGAACCTCAATTGACATATGCTGCATATTGCCAAGCCATCGCCTACCTTCACGTGCAATGCTATGGGGAATTGGATTCGTTTGGAAGACGGTTCATGATAGCGAGACTAAAACGTGACAGCAGTTCACAAATGATCTGAGTAGTGAAGGGAGGTGTGTAGTTCCTGGCTGAGGTCCTCAAGACGATAGAAATCAATAGTTGAGAACTCTTCGTTGACATGGCTGGTAGTCGGTCACAATGGCGCAGATGTATTTACTCTTTGACATCTTCAAAAGCTTGAATGTTTTGACTAACCTTATTTTTAAATTTCCTCTCCCAGCATACACCGTTGTCTACTTTTATGTTAGTCTTTCGTATCCACTTGTACTTTGTATACTACTGTGAAGTATGGCAAGGTTCTACGTTGACTTTGTCTCTCTGGTCTGTAAAGTGCTAACATCTGTTTGTGTCCACACAAGTAATCAACCACTACTTCTATCATAGCATCTATCACGTATGGTAGAGTTTTAGTGATATGAAGTTTAGGGGTAGAGTACCATATATGGACCGACAAAAATCAAAAATATCAGATCTTGAATAATTGTCTATCAATCCGGTTTGATTTGCTTTATATTAGTAAATGGAGGAGCTAATCGATACGATCAAAAACCGAGTAAAAATTATTGATATAAGTTTTTGTAAAGATATGAGATAAGCGAACGTAAAGATAATGTAATAAGATTTCCCAAATTTAGGTAAGGATGTAACATGAATATATCTGCAGCATAGCAATCGACTCTATTTTACGCTACCTAAATTCCCTAACTGATTTCGATCATTTACCAGGCCTCTGACAAGGAAGCCTATTTATGCGAACTACCAGTAAGAAACAACACGCGATTAAGTTAATTGATAAGATTATAAACCTGAATCAACATAATTGAGCCACCTAACTTTGTCTTACTGAAGCATGTTGTGTTGACAAGTACATCATTAGGGCAAGGTGTTAGATTGCTCAAACAAAAATACATTAACAACCTATGAAGTTTCTAAACTATTCTCAGTTGTGTAGTGAACTTTAGGTTTTATGAGACAATGGAAGTTGGTTGGTGTTTTGCAGGTGTATCCGGAAGTTGTCTTTCTCTGGACGCCTCATTATCATATTCTTTTATTCTTCTTGTTACTTTTGTCTTTCTCGCCTCATTTGTCGTCTATAGATATAATTATTTCCATCTTACCCTCACTATTGTATATATCTCCCCTCGCAGTGGTAAACTTTTGTCCTATAGCTTTGACGGTTGCGCAATAAAATCGGGTCCTATGCTAATATCTCTCCATCTCAGTTATTCGATATTTTCTCAGTAAATCTCTTGAATGACCACATTTCAGTTGTCATCCTGGTAAATCAACCATTAGAATGTCCACTGAAATACCCTAACTGTTATCACCTTTTCTTAACCAGAGTTCAGTTTGAATTAGTGCTTCCTAATTTTTTGTACGGTTCAAATACCATCAACATTATGCTAAAATGTGAAACTCGTTGCCCGGAACAGTCAACTTTCGACTTAAAAGTCATGGTTGAGAACCTGCTTTACTGATCAACGTTTGGACTGTCAAATATCAACGCCTAGCCCTTCACTTAATAGCGTGTTTCAGGGCATAATGTACAGCCTTGTGCATGATTGTTAAGTTTAATCGCTATCTTTACGGCCCATCTTTGTACTACTTTTATCTGGTTTCTACGTTGTCTGTTTCTAGGAAGTGGTATTGGGCAATTGGGAGCTTGTACATGAGGCTGATGGACATGAAACTCGTTTCAAGTTTTCTCGTGCATTCTCTCTGAAGCCTGGAGCAGCATGCACGGTGAGTTCATTTTTGTGTATATACTACAAGTTATTCTGTTATTATAATTGTCAGTCAGAATGATTTACTTCCTTCTAAGTATTTAACTTCTTTGTTGCATAATTTTTATTTCTTGTCTTTAATAAGATTTGGAGTCAAGATGCCGAGGGTAGTTCACATAATCCTCCTTTTGATTTGACTATGAAGAATAAAACTTTCCATTCAGGCAGCGAAATTACAATGCTACTGTTAGATGCAGACGGTGAAGTGAGTTATTTTCATCCATACACAAGAGTATTCTTTTATCGGTCAATATTTATTTCAGCTCATGTGCGCTTTAGTGTTTGTTTTTAAAAATATACTGAGAAACAAGTTTGGTCATGTCGTGCCAATGAATTATTTCCTGTTTATTTGTTTGTTTGTTTGTTAATAGCATAGAGACTTGCACTGTACTTGCTTCATGCACTTATCTGAGTTGAGTACCTCCATTCGTTATACATTCACATCTGTCTAAAGCCTCACATATTTTGTCGCTGTTTTTCTCTTATTTCTAAAAGTTAATTTTTATCAGGGTTAAAAAACAGATCCAGAACACTTTGTTTCAGGTTTAATTCTTCTTGTTGCTCACATTCTTTTACTGAGGTATATTTTGCTAATTGTGAAAATAACGCACACAAAAAAAGAATTACAATGAGTTAATTTATTCTATCAAAAGTTGGTTAATTTCAAATTAGTCTCTACAAGAGTTTTATAGCCGTCAACAGTTGATCATCACAATTTAATGAAGTTGCTACTAATCGGACTGTGTTTGTGTAGTATGAATTCAGCTACTGTTAGCATATCAACTGTTCGCTATAACCAGTTGAATAATGTTAACGTGACTCAGCAACTATATACAGGTTTGTGGATTAGGTGGTAATCAGCTAAATGTAGTATGCGAAGGTTTTTTATGCTTCCTGACTGTCCAAACCTCAATAGGTTGGATGTGGTTCAACCCTATGACCTACTGGTCGTAAGTTGGCTGTACAAATCAGTCAACCACAGCTTCATTACAATCAAGTTGAACTATCCTTCTAATGTTTTCCGTATCACAGATTAACAGGCATACAGTATCGATAATCTACCAAAGTTGCGACTGGTCTAGGTGTACACTTTTCGCTTAAAATGATTTTTTAAACTTTATGATATAAATTCCTTTTGTCCATTATGCCCATTTCTGCTTTGTTACTAAGATTGATAATGGTGTGTAGCTTGTTCGTAGGTGTTCGTCAAGCTATAAGTCACCTCGGTAACAACCTCTACCTGAACATCTACATTACCCTCTAAATTGATGCTGTCTATCACGATTTTAACCTATATCTATACATATTAAATATGGATTTCACATTGGATGGTTGTGTACATTTGATCAGCACTTGATATTTGTGAAACGTAGCACTCCTTCTTTAATAACGTCAAAGTCGTTCAGTTTACTGAAATTTTGTGTTCATTATTTTACATTCTATTAGTTTGAATATTGCTCCATCATGACTTCTTTTGCAGGAGCAAGCCAAGTGCACTGTAAAACGTGAAAAAATTCGTTCTTCTGGAGTTAATTTCGGTCGTAAAACCGGTGTTCGTGGACATGATGAGGTTAGTTTACAAATAATCAGTGTTCGATTCTAAATTTGACATTGTAAAAGAGTATGCATGTTATACTTGGTTGGAGGCAATCGGCTGGAAGCCCTGGACCTATGTAAATATAGCTGTAAAGATCATCTAGGAGAAGCTTTCCCATAAAGTTAATCTACACTTGATACCGGCATTTATGTACTAAGATATAAGCCCCATTTTGTGTGTGTGTGTGTGTGTGTGTGTAAGGGCTTATGGTACTATTCGGTTGCGCAGATGGAAGTGCAAACATTTAAACTATTCAATGAGCTCTCTTGTTAAACTCAACCCATTTAACAAAACCCCATCTTCTATGGATATGTCTGTGCACACGTAATGGGGGGAACGAATTTCAGGACAAATAAAAGGTTTCGAACCGTCACCCTGTATTACACGCACATACAACGAATTCAATGAATTCCGCTATGAAGCTTTCTAGGTTTCTCTACTTACAGTTTCCAATTTTCATTATTAAAAGTTAAATGAAAAAGGGAAATAGATTTGGAACCCTTTAGATTGAATATAACTGGAAAAACTGTATCTTAAGTTCGTCGCCCAAAACTCTGAATTTCTTTTATAGCTGGAAAGGTATTTCATTCAACTATCCAAACTGTAAACAAACCTTTCTACAGTTTGTAGCTGACATAGATGGAGATTTTATCTACAGTTCTGACTAAAGGATGCATTTCCAACCGCTAAGCTGATTAGCTAGCAAGAATGATATTGCGGTCCGCTTATATTTTGAAGATGCGGAACTTTGAACCTATCTCTTGTTCTTTTTGGCACTGGTCAATAATGTGTGTTTGCATTCTGGACAATTAAAACCCACATGTCCATCATATAAGTTAGCATTTTTCTCTAGTGTAACATGTTTTGATTAACTTATATCTATATCATTTTTCCTCCTTCTGTTTACTTCAGAAATGTCATCTCATGTGAAAAGGATCTAACAAGATGTATAACTTTTGCTTTGTTTAATTGTCTGTCTAACTGGCTTTTAATTATCAATATTTGTAATTGCATTTTCTCAACATTTGTTATTTTGTACCTTAAAAACTGTTTGTTTGATAGTCAATAGCCGAGTATACATGTGGTCGCCGATTTGCATTTCATTATCACACCTAAAAAAATACTGACGAAAGGATACAAAATCGAAGATTGATAAGTTTGTGTTAACAAAATATTCAAGAATATAATATGCGTTAAAACGGTCTTATTCACCTAAATACATCTGCATTCTGATTGCTGCCAGGTGGTAACAAAGCGAAAATGAAGCATCTCTTACTCGACTGCGTCGCACTTACTGAGCAGAATAATCAATTCGCTTTATGTTCTTTTCGTGATTTGTGTATCGAGCCTGCGTGTAACAATTGACAAAGTTAAGAATTGATGTCACACCAGCCTTATTGCTTCAGATGTGTTGATTGTATCATGATTCAAGTTTTATTTCCAAGGTCATCTGTTCAGTTAGTAAGTGTCAACATTACATCTGGTTTTACCACTTAATGATCACAGCTGCAAACCTCACAGCACTTAAAGGTAGTAGGCACAAAGGATGAAAGTCGAAGAAAAAAGTAATCAGAAGCGCTCGAAAGTCGTAGAAAAGGAGGAATAAGCCTAGTAAAATTCGATGTGGCGATTCACATGAAAGTAACACGTTACTACCTCTGCACCACTGAAATCGATCCTGAGCCACACCGCCTAGAGACTTGAACCACCAATTTCGGGGAATCGCCATCAAGTTGCATAGGTAGGAAGGATTAGTGATGACAGGTATAAAGGAAGATGGAAAAGGTCGATAATCATCGGATGGAACTTAAGTGCTGACAAAGTTGTTAGGTTAAATGTCACTTTTTGGCTGCTCACAGCCTGCAAGGTTTCATCTTGAGATGTCTGAAAAAAAGTTGTGTAGTAATAATGGTGCGTTGACCATAGAGCTCAAATGGCATCTGCTTGAGGACCTTCAGAAACAAATGTCCCCACCAGCATAGCTCATTAAGTTATTGAGGTATGTAAGCTCGACCATCACTTCAAAGTGGTATACATCTTGTATTTCATCAATAATGTTAGGATGACCCAACGCGACGCACTGCTTATTGCAAGTATGCTAAAGGTCAGTGAAATGCTTACTGCAGGAAATAGAGCTTCTAGATATTCAACATCAGGCTTGAGTTGACAGTGCCTTACGTGTATTCATTCATCAATGTTTTCATCTAGTCGATGTAGTTGTAGACCTTCATCAACTGAAGTGATTTACCGTGTGTTATACTCCTGAGCCAATACATACTTTGGAAGCAAGCTATAGGTGACCAGGTCAAGACATGGCACAAATCCATGGCAGTTGACTGTCGATTGTAGTTGTACAGGAGTCTTCAAGATTATTTGGAGTCATGGGTGCCCATAGCTGACGCCTCTTGATGTTTTTCTGCGTCTCCACTTGTTGCTTGAGAAACTTCAACAGTATGTATGTGAAGTTGAGGTCTACGGCATAAATTTCCCCAAGGTTGCAAAAGCATTCTGATGATGAGCATAAGTTAGAAAATCTCATCCGAGTAACGTTTCCTATAGGTTCTTACAGAACTTATGTCTAGTTAGATAGTTCCGTATTTACGCTTCCATACGACCCATATCTGAAGTTAGTCTCAGTGTTTCAGCTTTCTGTTTTTTATTTCGAAGGCTTTTGGTTACGTCGATCATACCACTTAATCATCTTGAGAAAAGAGTTTTGGCTAGTTTAGGATGTAAAATTCATGGAGAGAGTGATTGGTACACATTTAGGTTTAAGTTCTTTCAACTGGTATTGAGGAAAGTGTTAGCTGAGGTCTTCCGGATTAATGTGCCTGCTAATTAAGTTTCATATTGACTAGTAAGAATGCGGAAGTCATATTGGTTACTGAAACTAGTGCTATTACAAACACTCAAATCAAACTGTCAAAAACAAGTATCCAAGTCAAACCGCTAGACTGTTGTCGATCTGTCACCAGTAGTGACCTGCTGTTGAACCCCAAATAGGATGAAACACATGGATTCCAGTGCTAACCACTATTCATCGGTACTAATGAAGATATACTTTGTTTACTGACAAAACGCCAACACCTTCCAGAATGGGGCAATAAAAGTCAATGGGTTCAAATTACAACATTTGGTTGTAAGGTTCGTTCCTCCCTAGTCTAGGAAATATAACGTAACCTTTCGAAGAGTGTGAGGAAACGCCTACTTTGTATTGCTGAATCTCTAGTAGAACGGTAATCGGGACCGGAATCGTGCATCCGGAAACAACTTTGCCATTCTCTAGCCTTACCTCTTAGTTCTTAGAATTTCCAATTTTTAAGCCTTACTGATTTCTTAATTTTGCCGTTATTCAGTAAAGGACTTTTGTTTATCTAAGTCACAAATTTCTCATTTCCTTCGCACCCCCCACACCCTATCTTCGAACAATACGGAGCATATTACGCTCGTGTTTTTCAAGTGGTGGGGAATATTCTTATATCAGGGGGATGACCTTGTTTGCGTCATGTTTTCCGAACCGTTTGGTTTATTCATGAAGCTTCCACTGTTTTACTAGACCACGACATCAGCAACAACCTCAATATGAAGCGAGCTATCAGTGTATCTCGGGGAGTGATTGAGTTGCTTGTCATGAAGAAACGACTTGTGATTGGTTGTTTCGCTTGGTCGTCGTATCATTGTTTCCACAGGTTTTCCTGTCGGCTGTTCCTCTGCCTGACCTCTGACCCTGTAGTTGGTTATTCTTCTTCTTATTGGTTGATCCAATAAGGGAGAAACTTAGGCACTACGGTAAAGCATAATTCCATATTAGATTGTTTATTTTATATAGCAGACAGTAACACAATATAATTTGCTGGATGACGTTTCAAGCAGAATTTATTGCTCAAAATCATATCAAAGTAATCATACGACTTTCGAAATTCCTCTATATAGTCCAACAGTTGTTCATTCTTTGATTTTAATGTTATTGTAGTTTTCCAAATATCTGCAATATATGAACTCAATGAACAGAGATTCTGTGATCAATCTCTTCCTCCACATAGCCAGCTATATTGGATTTTAGAATTGTCACCCTATCTCACGCACCTTACAGTGTGATTATGGGTCAGTGCATGCAGAGCGATATCCGGATTTTTCTCTAAATTATTTATCTTAATAAGATCCATCATTATATGTTTCACTGAAGTTTTGTGCTCTGATATTCTGACTGACCCATATCGTTTGCTTTGGTCCAATATTTCTACATTTCCAAAGTTGAATTCATATCCATAGTTATCTACGTGCACTGAAATGAGCGATGTAATATTGTGACATTTAATAGCCGATTGGTGTTTCCGTAAACGCAGGCGAAGAGGACTACCACTTTGTCCAATGCACTTATTATTATTATTATTAGTCCCTTGGGTTCCTAGTGGAACATAGGGCTTCAGTAGCACGCCTCCAGTGACCTCTGTTCTCTGAGATCTTTTGAACCTGGTTCCACGACAGCCCAGAAGCTCTCATTTCCTCCTCGCATGACCTCCTCCATGTCACCCTCGGACGTCCAACTCGTCGCTTCCCATGGGGATTCCACTCGAGGGCCTGACGCGTGATGTCCTCAGTCGGCCTTCTCAGTGCATGGCCAATCCATCTCCACTTCTTCCTGCATATTTGTTGCGTGATAGGTTCTTGGTTGGTTCGTTCCCAGAGTTCCTTGTTGCTTATTTTTTCTGGCCATCTGATCTTCAGCAGCGAGCGTAAGCAGTTGTTGATGAATGTCTGTAGTTTATTGGAAATGCCTTTCGTGACGCGCCAAGTCTCTGAGCCATACAAGAGCACTGACTTGACGTTGGTGTTGAAAATCCGTATCTTGTTCCGCATGCTGAGTGCAGAAGATCTCCACACTGGTTTCAGGCTAATGAACGCCTGTCTTGCTTTTCCGATTCTGACTTTGACGTCCTCGTCCGTCCCGCCTGTAGTTGAAACAGTGCTTCCTAGATAAGTGAAGGAGGTTACTTCCTTCAAGTTTCTCCCGTTGACGGTGATTGGAGTTTGTTGTTGTTGTTGATGGTGGTGGTGCGGTATCTTCATCACTTCTGTCTTCTCTATATTCACCTGAAGTCCCGTCTTAGCTGCCTCTTGTATCAACTTGTTAGTTTTTGCCTGCAGATCTTCAAGTTTATGTGACATTAGGCATAAGTCATCGGCGAAATCCAAGTCTTCTAGGTTCTTTTCCGTCGTCCAGTGTATCCCCCTCTTCTCGCTGCCTACTGTTTGCTGCATGATCCAGTCCACCACAATCAGGAATATCATGGGGGATAGTAGGCAACCTTGTTTCACTCCTGTCTTCACTTCAAAGGCATCACTGAGCTTCCCATTGTGGATTACTTGGCATGTGGCATCTTCATATAGTTGTTGAATGAGGCGGATAAAGGTTTGCGGTACTCCGTAGTATTGAAGCAGTTTCCAAATTACTTCTCGGTCGACGCTGTCAAAGGCCTTCTCAAAGTCGATGAAGTTGAGGTAGAGAGCTGATTGCCATTCTACGCTCTGTTCTATGATGATACGAAGCGTTGCAATTTGGTCAGCACATGATTTGTACTTCCTGAAGCCTGCCTGTTCCGGTCGCAGTTTTGAATCCAGTGCGTCTTTAAGCCTCTCCAGGATGATGCGGCTTAATATTTTACTTGGGGTGGACAGGAGAGTGATTCCGCGCCAGTTCTTGCAAGCACTGAGGTCTCCCTTCTTCGGCAGTTTGACAAGGTAACCCTTCTTCCAATCGGCAGGTACCTTCTCTTCCTTCCACACCTTCTGCAATAGTGGTGTGAGCATGTCCGCTGTTGTCTCTGCATCTGTTCTCAGTGCTTCTGGCGGTATTCCATCTGGTCCTGCTGCTTTCCCGCATTTCAGTAGCTTTATGGCGTTCAGGACTTCCATTTTCGTTGGGGGATTAATGTTCACTTGTAATTCAGCGGCTGCAGGTGGTATTTCTGGACGAAGTGCAGGTGGTGGTCGATTCAAGAGCTTCTTGAAGTGGTCGGCCCATCGTTTCCTCTGTTTCTC